AGAGAAACTGTCGATCAAGTCTCGCTTGACCTTGTTTCTGTGTCTGTACTGACCTCCGGAAATGTAAAGCAAAGATCATATCACATAAAAAGCAATACTCCCACAAACGGGCCCCAAGCTGCAAATTGATTCTGCTGCCATGGAATTCACTCCCATCTCAGGGAAGCAGTGGAAAGGGGGGCATTAGGAAGGGGTCTCTTCCGCCGCATTCATCCTTTTGTTGCAGATATCTGTCCTGCGCGTCAGCTCGCAGATTTTTATCGTTATGAAAAGGCATTGTGCATATGCTGGCAGATCTCGTGCCGGTGACAGATAGCAGAGGGACAAATAAGCCGGCGATTCCAGCTTGCCGGCGTTTAACACAGTCCCTCTGTCGCAGCGGTGATAGCGGGTTCAATTGTCTGCGGTAATGGGTTGAAGGGAGCGTGAGTCGCCGTTGCGACATTGCCCGGAGCGGGGCCGCGTGGATCATCTCGGGAGAGCGCCGCCCCCTTTGTCCCGATGGGAAGTCGGTAGACGAGATGGTTATCCCCGCGCACTGTCCGAACGCCACCGTTGTCTATTAAATCCCCTAAATTGAATTTAAAAGAGTCTCAGATTACGTTAGAAAGTCTGCAGATGTCCTTGCAATGGACCGGGTCCAGTGACCCATCGCCTAATTAAAATTCAAGCTGAAAAAGAGTGTACTTTGATCAAATCAAACTTTAATTAGCTCAGATAACCCCAAGCTACTCCAAAACATTACCAACTGGAGGAATCGAGGACATTCTTCTGGAAAATTCATCATCCATGGGAGATACGCTGGAGTATGCACAAAGGAGAATATTTCGCCACAATTAGCATCATTTTTTTGGAACGAGCATCAATAAGGGCCATTCTACACACAAATCAGCATAAAGTGACTAACCTTTGGTACATTATCATTGTCCTCCCCTTTTGCACAGACCGATGTCAAAGGTCCTGCTAGCCAGAGGTACCTGCAAGATCAAATTCCCCCAACCTTTTGGATCACTCGAGTCAGTGCTAAATAATTGATGTGGCCATTGAAACCGGTGGCGGTGGCAGTGATTTGATTTCGGAGCCAGTCTGAATGGGTTCAAGATCCTTACAGACACCCCGCGGAGGGCCAGTGAGAAATGTCAATCGCACCTCATCTACGGACGGAGGCTTCTCTGCTACACAGAGAGAGCGGCAATCTCCAGGCAATCTGCAGCAAGTTCACCATCCACATTTAATGAGACACACACACACACACACACAGTGGAGTGGTAGAACAAAGAGACGCTCGGTTGTAGCTCTGACAAGTGTCAACTTCACTGCAACTGTGGCATGTAAGAGGATTTCCTTGATAATATGAAAGAAAACAGAGTAAATGACAAAACTCGGATATTATCGTCTAATTGACTGCCATGTTTGCGTTACATATTTGCATGTTTGTGAAGCCCAAGTCTGTGCAAATTGTCATGGTGGTTACTGATTTGATTTTGTAGCCATAACAACATAGAAATCCCAATTAGCCAAAACAAGAACTGCAGCTTTTTTCAGTTCATTACTAAAAGTGTGTGCCTTGTGTGCTGAAACACTTTAAAAAGTTTAATATGAGAAATACATTTGCAAAGAGCAAAATTCGGTTAAATAGGTTAAAAAGGTTAAATGTTTTTCATCTGCTGTAGTGCAAAAGGCCCAATCTATTTTTTCTCTCATCACATATGTTGAGAGTGTCACACAAATTTATAAAATGAAATGGAACAGACATGTTGTCTTGCAGATTTATTTCATGCTACTTTATGAAACTTCCATATGTTCTGCTGTGCATCTGACAAACTAGAATTGTCACGCTCGCACGGTTCATTTTTCGGCCGACGTGATGGGTAACCCCACCCTTGTTATTTTTTTCAGGTATTCAGTCAAATTCTGTACCAGCAGACGAGCCGTTCGCAAACACCTGGGATTTGAGCGTTCTGACTGGTGGAGGCTAACTTAATCATCTATAATTGGTGGAGTGGTTCTAATTTATAGTGACTGACAGCATCGATCTGTCTCAAAGGTAAGCCATCAGACCTAATAAATAAAGGAAAAGAAACAAGTAGTCACATTCCAAATGAGCAGAAAAACGGCAACATAGCACAATGTAAAAACGAGACCCGCATCATATCTTATTGAGGAGCGAGTCTAATCCCCAGAAAGAGAGAGGCTAGATATCGATGTGCATGATATTAAATTTAAAAATCTTGGGACCTTAAATAATTTAAGCGTGAAAGATCACAGAGTATTTGATCTAGTCTCTGTATCAAAACTACATTACACAGGGCAAAAACTGTGACAGAGCCTCAAAAGAGAACTTTACACTGTCTCGCAGCAGAAATGTCACAACATGAGGGTTTGTGAGACGCTGGAGGGGTGTTACTGGTGCATGGATTCGCTCTCTAAAGATTTCAGCGAGGCATGGGCTCGCACATATGGCAGAATACACACGGATAGGATATTATGTGTAGCCGTGAGAGAAAATCAAGCATTTGTTATGATCGCATTGTGTGAAAGCTATTGCAAGATAATGTGCATCTATTGTCGAAGCTGTGGCCTAGCGGTTTGCATGCATTATGGTTGCGCTGTATACAAAAAAATACATTTTATCAGTAGCCCGAGGCTGTTTATTTGTAGCCTGAGGTATCGATACGGAGGTAACAGAGCCCACATCAAAGCCAAACTAAAAAAAAACAAAAAACACAATGCATACATACTGGGCTATATTATTCATGTGGGAGAATTCGCTTTGCAACATTTCCGGTTCTCTTTCTAGCATACAGTAAATAAAGAGTTGGCCAATGGCAAGTATATATTTTTTTTCTTTCTCAAGAAAAAAAAAAAAAAACTGTTAGAAAAAATAAAAGGTGTCAAAATGCTGAAACACAACCAACTGTACATCTGGTTCATTTGACAATAATAAAAAATTCAACCTCAGAGCCAGATGCTGAAATTCGATTTGAAACAGCCCATGGTACTCAGCTAGGCTTCAGTGTGCTTTTTCCACACGAAAAGCTTGGATGCATTTTGTCTGATTCCACAGTGCTCAGAAAAGCTCTAGGCAAAATACATGACCAGAGTAGGTTACTAGTTTGTTTCACGATTAAACCTCTGCGATGCTATCACCGAGCCTTGGAGATCTTTTAGTGAAGGATCGCCTCCGGAAACAATGTTTTGTCTGTACAGATTAACCAGCGGAATCCCTCTCGTCCAAATTCACCTTGAAAGCCCTGCGACTCTCGAGGAGAGTTCGAGGAAAATTCCACCTTTCCAGTCCTCTTGCTCACTCTGTGTCATCGGGCCTGAGCTTTGGGCCAGAGTGTGTTCCTTCCCCTTCAATACACCACATCTCAACGGCCATCCAAGTCATGCGCGAGAGCCCGGCTCTGAGCAATGACTAACAGATTTGTTGAGGAGTAAGTAATGTTAGGTTTGCTGACATTGGCAAGCCTTGCCACATGCTCAGACTGCAGAGAAAAGCAAAAGATAAATTATAAGCCTCACACATATATCTTTGTTTTTCTCCTTTTTATTGTATGCATCGAATCAATAGCACTGTTTGAAGGTTTTTTATGATACAAGACACTTTCCTTTTATTTAAAAAGAAACAACAGCAGTCTGCTTGAGTTTAGATAGTCTTATCCTTACTCAGTATTTCCAGTCAAACTTTCTTTTGTTTGGTTCTGTGATGTTAGGCGTTGTATCTTCTCCAGCAGCTCAATTTCTGTTTAGCAAATATGTAACACTGTTAGCACTAGTTAATGCAGTCGCATTTATTATAATGTATTAGTGTTCAATTCTACATATACTAATGCACATTTAACATTCCAGTTGTATAAATTAATCAGTTAATATATTATGAATGAACCTGAAGAACAATGGTATATTAGCCTAGATTATTAAATTATATTAAAAAGTTGTTCAGTATAAGTCAAAGATGCTTAACTAATGCTAACAATTTGAACCATTTTGTAACACTTACTTCGCATCCATTACATGTTAACGTCAACAGAGATAAAAGAGTCCATGATTTTATAATGTTGCAAAGACAACTATATAAAAAACCCTGCGTAAAGGATCTCCCCTCATTTCTTCATGCATATTTACACCAATCAGACATGGTGTTTCCTTTGCTTTCAGCCTGTGTCACTGAATTAAAGACCATCTGCCATTAATTCACCACCCTGTCTGTTTATCACCTGCAGGCCTTGTCTAAAAAGTGCTGTCCTAAATTGCCAGTTAGCAGATAAAGGTATTTTGTCATGGGGCAGGATTTGTCATTTCAAGGTATACTAAATTGTAAAAATATTACGGTGTGTGAAAATTTCGAAAAGAAAAAAAAAAAAGAAGAAGAAAAAAATTAGCATGTGCATAAATGTGAACGCCTCAAGCTTTGCTCTGTAATAGAATCTTGGACTTTTCCTACATAAATTGAAGGATATAATTCAAATGAGCTGAAGCATTTTAAGGTCAAAGCAATATTAAATTCATGCAGCACTGACATACATTGTCTGAGAAGAAAAAATAAACTATAAAGCACTTTCTACCTGCATGTACTCAAATGCAAAGCATTATTACAGTATGTTTACACTCACACACACCAAAGGGAATGTATGTGTCAACTTGCATAAAAAGATTCACGGCTTTTGATTAAACTAATTTGAGATTTAGCCTCTTTAAGCACCTTTTCATCCATGTTTAACCTTTCCACATACACACAGCACAACTTTTACAGCCCCAATCCAAAGGTGTGTCAATCTCACAGAGCTCAACTCTCAAAACTCAGACAATCACACATGAACTCTGCTCTCTCCTTTTCTTTCTATCTCCATTTTCCCTTTCTTTCCTCTCGTGCATCACACATTTCGACTGTCCCCCTCCAAAACAGATAAGCGCAGAACGCGGAAAAAGCAAACCACGACCACGGAAATTCTCTATGCGGTGCCGATCAGTAAAATTAGCATGACAATACTCACTGTGGGGAGAAGGGGGCAGTCGGAGCGTGGCAAGTCACTCTGTCCGATGAACCTGCACGGGTGGAAGAGCGGGAGAGAGAGAAAGAGAGAGAAAGAGAGAACAGTCAGCTGTGAAAGCACAGTTAAGAGAAAGGGAGGGGTGACAAAGAGCCGGCACATACAGAAAAACACAAGAAAAGAAACTGAAACACAGAGGAGAACGAGGATAAAGCCGAATGGTAAGATAGAAATGGGGAAGCAGCGGAGGGAGGGAACCTGTGATGAGAATAAAGGACACGTGGGAAGATGCTGTACTTTTAAAAGTTCGACACACGAATGGGAGAGTTTTCTTACTGTTATTCAGTCATGTGACACCACTGGGTAAACTAGATACCTTATTTAACCTTGCAGTTAGTGCACGATTGTTTACTGTAGCAACAGCACCAGGCAGATAATGAGCTTCATTGCGCTTTGCATGACAATACAATGAGTTTTTGCAGTTTTAATGATTTTTGGGAATGCATTAATAAAATCATTTACATATAAATTTAAATTGTGGCATTATTTACTCGCCCTCATGCTGTTCGAAACCCATAGGCTGTTATACTTTTTGTGGAACTCAAGAAAATAATGAATCTCCACATACTTCGACACGTTCATGGTGAGCACAGGCTGTTAAATGCCCAAAAAAGAACCATAAAAGGCGTCCATATGACTTCTGTGCTATATTAAGTTTTCTGAAGCCAGCTTCAGATAGCTTTGTGTGCTTAAAAGACCAAAATTTAAGTCATTGATTACTGACTTTTCGCTTACGCTGCAGTTTTCAAATCAAATATGGCATCTGTGGTGAAGGTTGTATGTCATATGGACCACTTTTATGGTGATTTTATAGAGTCTGAAATCAATGTGAATGTTGTTTAAAAATATTTTTGTATGTTTCACTGAAAAAAATAACAGCTTATAGGTTTGTAACAACATGAGGTTGAGTAAATAATAACGGAATTTTCATGTTTGGGTAAAATATTCCCTTAAGTGTTTTTTTACAGGCTAGCATTTGTCTTTAATATTTGAGTATGTGTTTCGACAGCTCTATTAGATCACTTTATCTCTGAACTGCCTTTGATGGAGAACTGATGATCAACATGGCAACACTGCACTGTAAACCAACTCTATCTTTTGGTCTCTCAGTTGTTGTCCAATCTCTCATTCTCTCATTCTTTCCATACTTCTCTCTCAGAAACGTTTTATTCTGCGGAGGCAGTGCCACCATAAAAAGATTCTGATGAGCAATAATCAACTATACAAAAAAAAAAATCTGTATCAGTATTACAAAATATGAGACTGAATAATGTATTAGCCAACTAAAGTGACACTGTCTAAAAGGTACGGTCACATTAATCAGTTTTCTCTGTAGGCAAAATTCAGCAATTTTAACAGGAATTCCCACACAGATTTTTTTATCAGATTCAAGTGAATTTGCTTCATTAACCAAAAAAATAAAAAATAAAATGCTTCTTTGTTTGAAACTGACTTCTGTGTGAGATGTGCTTCATGCATCGCTACACTGTTGACAATGGACCTATTTGATTGTGAATTTTCAACAATGTTTTGAAACAAGGATACCAGTGGATAAAGTTTCATAGGGAGGCAGTGTCTCTCTCCCTTGAAGAACAGTGAAATACTTAAGAAACAGTCACATGAGAGAAGTCAGTGCCTCCATGTCACTGTTACTGGCTGATTACAGTATGCTGACAATATGAACCCACCTTTTACATTCGCAAGCAGTTTACAATCAGCACCAATGGAATAAACTTGTTAAATGGCTAATTACAAAGTTAAAAACACACCCACTCACATCACCACTTTCAGTCACAACCAGATCAAAGTGTACTTACAATTACGACCTGTGAGTAAGCTGATTTTAAGATTGTTAATTTAAAAATACATATCAGAACAACATTTACAGAGGATTTGATGACTAATGGTTTGAAAGGAAGGCGCAGGTCCAACAGTTATGAGGAACAAATAAATGCTACTGTACAAGAAATATGATTTTTGGCTGTACATTATTATTTTTGAAGCAAAAAAATCATAATAATAAAAGTATAAGTATGTTAATAGAAAAATATGAAAACATTGTTATATTTGTTGCGTACTGCCATAAAATCTATGTAAAGATCAAATGGAACTGGAACATTAATTTACATTGGACTAAAAGACCCAAACGCAGAAAGGGACTTTCAGGAGTCCACAATGCAACACTGTTCTGTCTGCTTCTCAGATGTGTGTCTCTCTCTCCTTCTCTCCTCAAGTGACAAAAGCAAGACCCCATTCCTAATCTGACCCCAAAACAGCAACGAAATCCCCCTGGCCTTATCATCCTCTGCCTGGGCTCTGTTCTCGCTCTTCTTTCATATCCCCTGCCTCTCTTTCTTTCTTTCATTCTCTCTCTCTCTCCGTCACTCTCCATTGCATCCTCTCTCCCCAGTATAACCTCTTCCTCTGTCTCCTTCTCTCTGTAAACGGCTTTCAGTCGAGCAGAGATTACCTAGACCATGCTCTTCAGAGCAGCTTCAAAAAGGGTGCTCTGGGCTGCCAGCCTGGATAACACCCCCCTCCTCCTTCCACCCAGGTGGAGAGGGGTGGGGGGGGAGTCACAGAGAGAGTGGCTTGGAAAATGTTTGCAGAAGGAAAAAAAAATACAGCAGACGCTGAGGATATCACACACTGGCTACGTTGACACAATGTTTGGGATTGACGAGTATATTTACTAACAGGTGTGACTTCTGAATTGTCCTGTTCACACAACAGCTATAAAAGCAGCTTGAATACAGTCTATGTGAATGAGAAAGAAGTCGAAGTAACACTTAATTAACTAAATGTTTTTAAAATAAAATACTATAAAATAAAATAATAAAAAATAAAATAGTAAGAAAAAAGTAAAGAAAAATAAAATAAAATAAAGTTTTACGGATAAATGCTGTCACTTGAATTAATGGTCAACTTTACTACATTTACTATCAGCATCCATATTTTCTCAGCATTGCATCCTCACGTCGCTTCAGAGGGACTCCTAAGTGCTGCTATTTAAAGCATGCTGAACTTTGCCAGCTTGCCAGTCTCACTTAGTTTTGATATGCACATACTGAGGTGATGATTTGCTATTAGAAACAATCCCAAAACACTTTTATTCTCCTTTGACCCGCATTACAGTTTTGACATCTCAGTGCATTAACATGATGCATGCTTGATTTATTTGCTGTGAGATGCATCATATGAGATTCATAGAGAAAGTGCAGACTGTGAAATCGCTGTACCTATGCAATTGTGTGGAAAAATTGCTATGTGGTGTTTTCCTGCCATGATGAATGTTTGCAGTTCAATGTAATGGGTAATTTATTAAAAATATAATCAAATGAATTAAATGCCTTGGCAATTACCATTAATAATAAAATATTACTATTAAAGGCATATTTATCCAAAATTGAAAATTAAGTTGCTCCAAAGTTTTTTTCTTCTGTTAAATGCATGTGAAAAAGAATGTTGGTGGTTGCAGTTGTTGATAGCCATTGACTTCCATAGTATTTTTTATTTTCCTACTATGGAAGTCAATGGCTACAAGCAACTGTTTGGTTAGTAACATTCTTTAAAATATCTCTTTTGTTCAACAGAAGAAAAAAAAAATCATACAGATTTGGAACAACAAGGTGAGTAAGTAATGACAACATTTTCATTTTTGGGTGAACTATCCCTTTAATATTAAATATAGTTTGTATGTTCTATAGTATTTTCTTGTAAAACGTACACCAATAACATATGGACCACAAAACCAGTCATAAGGGTCAATTTTTTTAAATTGAGATTCATACATAATATGAAAGCTGAATAAATAAGCTTTCCATTGATGTATGGTTTGTTAGGATAGGACAATATTTGGCTGAGATACAATTATTTTAAAATCTGTAATCTGAGGGTACAAAAAAATCTAAATACTGAGAAAATTGCCTTTAAAGTTGTCCAAATGAAGTTCTTAGCAATGCGGTGGGTGCGTTCTTATTAATTAAGACAGTCTCATTATTTGCCCGTCCAGGCGCTCGATGAGTGAGGGAAATCGGAATTAAAAAGTCAAGCAAACTGCAAAGGAAAAGACAGCTAAGACATGACAGATGGTCTTTCATCACGCAAGGCATTATCGAGAAAAAAATAAAATTGAAATAAATAAATAATGAGCTTACGGAGAGCAGAACTAGCACATTTTCTCCCTCCTCTCCTTAATTCTGGGCAATTAAAATATTTTTTTCCTTCAATAGCACAAAAAGCATATGGGGACATTACTCATTTGGTGCTGTTTTGCCAGTATAGTTTCCATGGCAACCTTGAAGCAGGAAACATGACTCTCTATGCTGGTAGATACAGAGGCACTGGCGTAGCCTGTGGTACTCGAGACGTGAACTTTGACTCTTTCCAGCCTTGATTTAGCAGTCAACCTAGTTACGCCACAAAATATCAGACCTGTCTTTCCTGGGAATCATCACACGAAATACGAAAACACAACACCACCAAAATGAAACGTATTATTATTAATATTGTAAATTATCGTGAGCGCCAATTCTGCTTAACTATCATGCATATTTAATTTTTAATATGAAACATCTTTCAATATCTCAGACGTACGGTCGTGTTCTGTTTGCGCCAAAGGCTGATGCTAGACTTTATACGTCAGGCAGAAAACATATAAAAGAGAATCATACTGAAGATGCATTCACATTAATGCTTCATTCCTTCACTACACTTTTTTGAGGCCAAAAGCACAGTTCAGAAAGACTAATCCCTTTGTATTCTTTGATGTGCAATCTTTGATGTGCATCCCTCCCTGTGTAAACCCAACGTTTTCTCATTTTTCATGTTTTCTCTGTCACCATGTCCAGCCTGGCTCCGTGTTATGTGAGACACACTCTCTGCCCTCTTGCTCCCCGAGAATGTCCAATTAGAGGAAGGTCGGATCCGGTAGCCATGTGTGAGGCAGCCACTTATTCTGTTACCGTTGGCCGATCCGTCACGCTCCTCTCCAGC